GGAGATAGTTTACGAACTGCTTTGGTAGCTGAACACTTAAGTCCAGATTAATGAAAATTTTAAGAAGTGGAGAGAGCTTCTACAGTTCAGAGGGGAATGTCTTTGCTATCATGGTTTTGCCCGTAAAATTATATGCACCGCAACTCACAGTGATCTGTTACTGAAGAGATGTACACTTACACATTTGAAATAGTAGTTACTTAGAATAAGTATGTTATTCAGATTTAATTCCTGTGATACCACTTTCAGTTTATTACAAACATTACTGAAGTATGCTGAAATAGGAGAGAACTGGGGGCTCTTTAAGTGGACATAACTGTGTCAGGCTTCAGTTTGTCCTTTCTTCATTTTGAAGGACTTTGGCAATAATTACGTTGCGGTAAAAGACCCAGTGTAGGAGGTTGAAAACTGAGCTACTTTATTGCCGTCGTTTTTAAAGTGTGTATAAAAATAGACTTCATTAGTAACTGAAAACTGGAATATCTGTTTAAGTGTAATGCCACTGTCACAATTTTGTTAAGGGGCAAGGCAAATAATTTGAAATAGTGGAATTAACTTCTCTGGCAGCATTAAAAGGAAGGTGGTCTGAGGCATTTGTATGCCCCTTCTCAGTTACGGATGTATCTGTGTTTTGGAGCTTCTCTCCTTCTCTCACTTTGCCTGGTAATGCTGATAATTCACAACAGAATTAATTGGCTTGTAAGGAGTTGAAAACTGGTAGAATTTCATGGAAGCAGGAACAAGGAAAACACTCCCAAAATACTCATTTGCAATTAAAAACTCTGTGAATCCAATTCATTTCCTGGAGGCTGTTGCACCCCACTCCTTAATCCTAATTCTGCACCAAATCCTTCAGTCCTGTGTTAGTGTGAATCCTTTCCCGCAGAAGGAGCACCAACGTTTCACAGTTTTAAGAGCAAAAATGCTCAATCCACCTTACTATTTCCAGTTCCTTCTGCCGTGGTTGGTCACTAGGAGCATTATAAACATTCTGCACTTGTATCTGTTATTTAGCCAGATAGAGTTTTATTAGGTAATTATCTCCCACACAAAAGTCAGTCCACTTGGCTCCCACACAAGTGGTTAGTGTTCATTTAACCCAAATCATACTCGGTTACTGATCAACTAATGCTGTTCCCAATATAATGTTTGATTATAATGCAGGATGTTTTGTCTTTTGAAGGAGAGTTCAGGCTTTCTTGTCCCTGCTGTTAATTATAACGAATTCTGGCAAGTTCAGAGATCTGAAAAGCCTGTCAGATGTCCCTGAAGTTGGATGCAATTTGCACATGACAAATTGCTTCAATAAAATTTTGCTTCTTAGCTTAATTACACAAGTCTCTTAGGAGTAAAGCTAATGTGAAATTACAGGTCACAGGACCACCACTAAACCTTTAGAGGTTGTGGTGATAAAATCCAGCTGTTTCTCCTCAAAAACTGCCTCTCAATATGTTGTTCTTATTCAGTGGTGTTCTTATGTGATTGCAGTGACATTGTGCATCTAAAAAAAAAAAAAAAAGTAAATTGATTAGTTGCATTAAACCATTACATGGATTGGAGAATTAAAGAGTAGTCAGATTCCCTGCCTTGCTTGATTGCATGCATTGCAATGTCATCTGCAGATGCCCAGGCTTTGGATAAGACAGCCTTGAATCGATGGGTGGCACTCGTGGCCCTCTCTAGGGGATCACCCGCAGCTGAGATCTCACAGCCTTCAGCGAGGCCACACTGAGTCTCAGACTGCAAGGGAGAGTGAGGGTCAGAGAGTGTTGAGGTTTACAAAGGTGGGAAATCAAGACGATGCTCTGGGATCTTCACATATGGGGACTCAGTTTAGTCTGGTTGAAGACCAGTGTAGGAAGTGGTGAGAACCAGCTTGCACTGGGACTTGGGCATAAGGTAGAAAACCAGCAGCGACACTTAGGTATTTGTGAAGCATTTTTTGCTTCCTAAGCAGATTTGTAGAGTTGCTACATTTCAGCTTTGATGGGGGAAGGTGTTTCTTTTTAAATAGTTATGTTTTGTTCCTGTTTTGTTAGCTAGAGCTTATTACTGATAATGTAGTCTGTTGCCGTCTTTAAATATCCAGTATCCAAATATCAATGTTTTTTAAGCAGCATAACATTAGTTTTTAAAATACCATATACCAATAATGCTATCTCATTAAGCTTAGAATTTTGCTTAGTTTATAATTTTCCTTAATAATTATAGCTGAGGTGATAAATAACATCAGGAAAGAGTTGTTTGCTCCTCTGCAGAACAACCTATGGGCTATGGAGCAAAAGAAACATACTCTATACAATACACAGAATGTTTGAAATATCTTTTAAAGCTACATCTTCAGCCCTAGCTGAATATGCTTTTTGTAGGAGTCTAGTACAAAAGAGACCACATCATCTGGCTTCCAGGCATTTGTTTTCTAGATACAGTTTTGCATATTTTTAGACTGTTCCACTTAATGGCACTCCAAAAGAGGATTTGTACATCAGTGAACATTATAAGCATTTAAGACACAGATAATACGTCTGTCATTTTAAAATACTAACAGCATGCTTTTAAGCGCTCATACAGTGCACAACCTTCATATAGTGGCCTGGATAGTATCCTTAGAGAAACAGATCTGGAAAACCCTTCCTCACCATTAAAAACAAGAGGAAAAACCTGCTTTCAGATGCATGAGCACTGATTTCTTCGTGGTTAGTAAAAACATTGCACATAAACCTGAAGACAATACCTGTACCCCCTGTCATCCTGGACCTCCGAGTACTTACCTTGCTGCCGTCTAGGAGCTGTGGTTAGGACACAGTCTTACCAGAAGCTCTCTGGTGACAGTTGTGTTCGCTGCTGCATGGCTGAGAGGGGGACTTGTTTCTGGTTCACCCGTTTCATCGGCTGATGTTGCACGGGCCGTGTTGCTCCCTTGGCGCTGCAGTGTGGTTCAGGGAAGGGCTCGCTCTGCCCGAGCTCTGGACAGAACTGCACACGGCACCTTACACATTTTTTACATCAAAATGCTGTAAGACTTTACTGATCTCTTCATTTCTTCTCCTTCCCCTCTACAAGTGCACAAACACATGAACAGGCTTTGAAAATTCTTTAATTCAGTTTCAAGTATTTAATAAGGATTGCTTTTACAGAAAAGTCCTTTAATATAAATAATCCTGTAGAGAAGAAAAACAAATGGGGATATCTGCTTTGGCAGACAATAAATATGTACATGCAGTGACAATTATTTTGCACAGTCATTCCTCATGATACCCTTAACAGTTATGGATCAGAGTTTTCAGTACATCTGCACTGCTGTCTGAAAAATGCCAACAGCCTAAAAGGACCACCTGGTCTGTGTTAAATTTGTTGCCTGTCTGTCTTTTAGGAAGACACTTCTGATCCCTTTTCAAAATATGAAGGTTGTCCAAATTCCCAAGGACTTCCAATCCTCACATTACGCATCTCTTTGTATAGGGATGCGCTGGTTACTACAATACCCCGTACTTCTGATAAATGCAAATGATGACTAATACACAAATACTGGTGTTTTTTTCATCCCATGTGCAGTATTGTTACCACTTCTTAGTTGTAAGAAATCCCACAAGGCTATTTGAGTAATGGAGTTTTGTTTGTAATTAATGCTTGCTTGCTACATTTTTTTAGGGACAAATTGAGGAAATGGAGGAGGGGGTTGCAATAGCGCTGTCTCAAGCTTTGTAAGACAAGAAAAATGAAGGGATGCAAAATGGAAAGCACCATTTTGTTCTGAGTCTTTTGTCCTGTTATAATTTAATTACACGTTATTACTTAAACTGAAGTCCACTTCCTCCTGGAGATACTTTGGGAAATCACTGTCATTCTGATTTTGTCATCTAGGAGCAAAAGAAGTTCAGATTTCAAAAAGAACAAGCAAAGGGGATTGCTAACTTTAATCAAAATTGCAGGCTGGATAACTTTGCAACATCAAAGTTACTGCCTCCTGCACTACAGAATGAGTAGATTGTTGCTGAGGTAGAAGTGTAACATTTTCAAGCACAGCATTTTACAGTTAGCAGGATGCATTTTAGAACAATTTTTCCTTGCTGCATGTGGTAAGGAGCCACCATTTCATAGAATCATCGAATCATTATGGTTGGAAAAGACCTTTAAGATCATGAAGTCCAACCGTTACCTAACTCTACCATGCCCATTTTAAACCATGTCCCTGAGCACCATATCTAGACAGCTTTTAAGTACATCCAAGGATGGTGATTCCACCACTTCCCTGGGCAGCTTGCCCCAGTTTTTGACAACCCCTTCAGTTAGAAGTTTTTCCTCATGTCTAACCTAAACCTCCCCTGGGGCAACTTGAGGCCATTTGCTCTCATCCTGTAGGTTGTAACTTGTGCGCAGAGACACCCACCCACCTCTTTCTACACCCTCCTTTCAGGGAGTTGTAGAGAGCGATAAGGTCTCCCCGCAGCCTCCTTTTCTCCAGACTAAACAACCCCACGTCCCTCAGCCGCTCCTCATAAGACTTGTTCTGAAGACCCTTCACCAGCTTTGTTGCCCTTCTTTGGACCCTCTCCAGCCCCTCAATGTCTTTCTTACACTGTCATGCCCAAAACTGAACACAGTGCTCAAGGTGCAGCCTCACCAGTGCCAAGTACAGTGGGACACTCACTTCCCTAGTTCTGCTGGCCACTCTGTTCCTGATGCCTTTGGCCTTCCTGGCCACCTGGGCACTCTGGTGGCTCGCATTCGTCCGGCTGTTGATCGCAACCCCAGGTCTCTTTCTTCTGGGCAGCTCTCCAGCCACTCTTCCCCAAGCCCATAGCATTCAGAAGTGTGTAGGCCAAATGACTTCCAAGTTCAGTGAAGTGCTGAGGATCCAAACATAAAGAGAGGAGGCTTGAAAACTGGAGTAGTCTTCCAAGGCACTCACAGCTTCGAGGTCAGATTTTCAGTGCATTTTAGACAAAAGCTCTGCAATGTTTTTGTAACTCTATCCTGTTATTTTGCTCTCTTTTTAGAGTTTCTTTGCAAGGAATGCCCCAGAGTTCATATTTTCATTGATCGAATCGAACTGAAGGACATTCCAGAAGAGCAGATGTATATGAGAAGGTGGCTTCACGAACGTTTTGAAATAAAGGATAAGTGAGTAGCAATATGTAGAACTTTCTGTTTCAAAAAGCTGTCTTACTGCTTCTGTATTAACAGATGTAGCTATGATTTCTGTGTTAACAGCAGTGCAGGCTGTGAAGAGAGGTGGTGTTGGATACTCCTGTGCATATTTTGTATAACCACCTTGTGATTAAAGCTTTTGTTTGGGATTCCTGAGTTTTAGACCTTCCTTAGACTGAAGAGGCATGAATCCAGGTTCTGGGCAGGACTCATATTCACCTGAATACTCTCCATTTATCTTCTTGTAGCTGAGTTATGCACAGCCAGGAATAATGTAAGATGCCTGTTGCAGACAAGAAAGCAAAAAGCAGTTTGATTCTAGCCTTGTAAACAGCATTAGGTTAGAGGTAGAAAGGGGCAGGTGTTGACTTAATCTCTTCTGCCCAAATTGTTCATGCATCTGCCATCAGACAGCAACTGGATAAAACCAGAAGTAACCCCGAGGTCCCTGCCTTCAGTGAGGAAATGAGGTGAAGTACAAGTTGAGTCTGTCCATCTTTGAATCGTGGCAGAACTGAAGTGCCTGGCTCCCTCCAGCATCTCCAGATAAGGTCATTAGTGAGCGTAGGTAACAGATCCTGGGGGACCTTGTGCTCCAGAGGAACTTTGTCCCTAAATGTGAGATTTAAGTATTTTTTGAGAGGTGATGGTTTAATTTACCACATCCAAAGTCCAGCTTAAGGGAGAAGAATCAGTTTATTTTATAAATCCTTGAATATGTTGTGTGAGAGAGAAATTAATTCTTCAGGTATGTTCTGCTTTAAAATTGTTCTGCCGGTCTCACACTGCATGGAAGTAAAAAACAGGTTAATTTGTCCTCTGATCTTTGAATCCATGTAAAAGTTAACATGATTATCTGGAAACATGGCACTATTACTAAAGTGTCTTAGAAGTTGAGGATCACTAAGTAATTTTTATTCACTTTTGAGAGGAAGAAAATCTGAATTTCATGTTCTAGAGAAGGAGCTGCTTCATAAAATAAAAGGCTGCCCAGTGTCCCTGAAGTGCTCTTCTGGTGAAGACCAGCAAAACTGAATCCTGACCATCTGGGTCTCACTGTAGACTCCTGTTGACTGGAACATCTTTCCTGGGACCAAAGCAGTTCTGTCAGGCAAATTTAGAGATACTTAAGAAAAACCCCAGAATTTTCAAATGCATTTATTACTGGTTTTGAAAAATGTGAGGAAAAAAGTTACTGCTAAACCAATGGTGTAGGATTTTACTCTTGCATGTTTAGCTTCTAAAATATTTAGTGTCTTGTGAGCCCTTGTTACATATTAGTTTATTTTATGAAGATACTCCCCTCCCCCACACTTTGGTGTTCAAACCGTGTGCTGTTTTGTCCTACAGTATTGCCCAGTACTCTGGGCTTATTTGCTACATGCTGAATGAAAAGGATTCTTTTCAGCTTTTATATCAGTGTTAAATTGGTCCTCAAGGAAAATCTGCTTTTATTTGCTTACAAGAGTTCAGGTTGAGTACTCTGACGTGCAGCGTTACTTTGAATGCATCATATCCTTAAGGCATACTCTGTGTTTAAATTTGTTACAGGTGAGCTGCTATGTATTGTGAAATCATTTGTTAAATAATGTTAAATAATGTGTGGTTAGAAGCACTTATTGGAGGAAAGTAAGACCTGCTTCTTACGCTAACGCATAACTTTGACCGTCTCCTTTTGTCTGCTCGTAGGTTACTAATAGAGTTTTATGATGCAAAGGATTCTAAAAGAAGAAATAAGTTCCCTGGAAAAAGTGTTCATTCCAAACTAAGCCTCAAGAAAACTTTGCCATCTTTGCTGTTTTTAGGTGGCCTGACTGCTAGTATGCTTCTGACAGAATCTGGAAGGAAACTTTATGTCAAAACGTGGATATATGGGACTTTAATTGGCTGCCTGTGGGTTAGCATTAAACCCTAAGTAAGCAGATGTTAGTCTCCAATCAGTGAAGTGTGCAGTCTTTTCTTGCACATTGTACCAAACTTTTTCCTGACTTTCTAGTAAAACAGCATAAATAAAGCCTTATTGATTGAACATTGGAAATAATAGAATTTGTGACTTAAGCTTCTGTGTGGTTGGTCTGGGGAAAAATAAATGTAGATTTTCAAATTTGCTACTGATTTTTGCTGGAATAATGACAGATAAACCGAGTCATATGATAAATTGCTTTCCCCATGAACTAACATCCATCTCTAAGTGCAGATTCGATGAAGTATGAGTTATGCATAAGGGTGTCTTAAGTGGACCTGTGAATGTATTTACAGAGATTAATTTAGGGTATATATTTATTCTGATATTGATGTTGAATTTTCATTACTCTTCGGGGCATTGCAGCAGCTCAGTTGCATCTATCCCAGTTGTATCGCAACTAAAGACTTATTTTCTTTTTTCTTTGACTTTTGCTTTTCAGTTTTAGCTAAATACTGTGTTCTTTAAAAGGGACTGTGTAAGCTGGAGAATCATGAGGTGTTATCCGGAGCAGAACAAAATGTTCCTGAGAGCTCCTGTTCATGGGGAAGAAGCTGTGTTTATCTACTGCATGATTTTTTATTATATTGCAGTATTAGCTGATTACTTTACATATGCAAAACATTAAATTTTACTGAGCAAACAGCTTATTTTGTGCACCCTGAATTTGTGCATAGAAGGATATATGCAGTATAATGAGATGTTAAGTTTTTGTTTCTGGCCTAACCAGAGTGTAGCCTACCCTGTGTCTGCGTTATCCCTAGCACTCGAGTTTCAGCTGAGCTCACAGACCCCTCGTGTGTGCGTGCCATAAGCAGCAGTGAACACTCACACGTTTCCTGTTACCTCACTGTTTTCTGGAAGCAAACTGGCATTTGGGTAACGCACAGAATTACTGTAACTTAGGAGCGTAAGGGTATGGTAATGAGGTTGAATCCGAAGCATGTGCCTTTTCCCGCTAATCTGATTTAGCCTGGTGTCTCATAGTCTGGCAGTCATCTCCGTGCTGTAATGTCACACTAGATTCTCAAATCACTCTAGGCAATGCAGACTGCAGCTGGATTGAAGTTACAGGGTTGATGTATGATTTGCACAATATTCTAGTAGTGAAATAAATGCATATCTTATCAGTATTTCACCTGCTTGAAAATATACCTTATAAAGCAAAATCAGCAAACTCTTACTACCAGAAAGTCTGCGATTCCCTTGGCTGTATTTTGGTTGGGGAAGCACCATTTCCTGATATCAAGGGAACAGTCTATATGTATAGCGATGGGGTAGGAAAGAGGGTGTACTTTATCTTCTTCCATTAGGGAATTGGGCTCCCTGTATCAAAATGAAAGAACTAGAGAATATTTTTATACCGCACTTGCAAGCTTTAAATGTGCACTTCTTTTTAGCTTCAGTGCGATTTGTCTTGCATTAGAGTCCGTCGTGAGTTAAATGTCTCTCAGAATTCTGTTTTTCAGATTCCACCATTGCCAGTTAATTAAAGGTACTGCTTTTACTGTGTGGTTTGTTGGGTTTTTTACAGAATTTTATAGAGTAGTTACAGTTCCACCTTAAAATCATTTGGTACAACTTTCAGTTTGCAGTTCTGTGTCCTTCCATAATGGATTTTGTCACTGGAGTTATTTATATCAGTGATTGATGCAGGATATGTTGATGAACCATTTTGAAAACAATGACTGGGAACAATGTTGAAAAACAGTATTGTTATGAGGCTGTGAAACCAGGAAAAAAAAAAGCCATTTTATGTAACAGCCAAATGTGCTCACATGTAGTTCTTCCTATTCTCAGCTGTTTCCAGTGGGTATAACCAGAAAGCAGTGTTCCTATGTTAATGTGTTTTTTCAATCACGGAATGAAATTTTACTCTGACGTGACTAAGTTTCTTTGTAACAGCTAAGAATAACATTTAATTATACAACAAAAATAAATGCAAACTGCTTAATTCATTTGTAGAAAAAAAACTACTATTTTGGAGAGCATAATTACCACGAAATACTGGATCTCTCTTGCTGTTTAAGTACCAGGAGTATAATTGACACAGTGCAACAGACAGACAGGATGTTTATTTTGAACCTTATTCTCTATGTTAATCTTTATTATTTTTTTTCTTGTCATTAATTTATAAAGTTTTGAAACTGTAATTTGCTGATGTATTTGGCGTTGGGAGTACCACATGCTATTTCTAAATATGCACTGATATTAACTTGAAATATTTCTTCATTAAAATAAGAAGAGCCAATGCTCATTCAACTTTTCTGTCCTGTCTACTCGTTCATTTTTTTCTGTACTTTTATGTTTGTAACTTGGTTAACAGGAACTGCTTACAAAAAGGCTACAGGTGTGGTTTTAAGTCCTTGATGGAAGGATTTGTGTGAGAAACAGACAGTGGAAAGAAAATAACTTGTCTTTTTTTCCTGTATAGCTAAAACTTGTAGGAATCGTTTTGTGCTGGTTCCAAGCAGCGCACCCCCAGGGCAGTTGGGATCACAGCAGCTCTTCACCCGTGACCACCTGCACCTCTTGCTGCCTGTTAGCGCTGTGTGCCGACGTGCAGTGCCACAGCCCTGGCCAGGAATTGGGCTCTGCCGCACAATGGGTCCTGCACAGGCGGACCCAGGGCTGGGGAGAGGTGTTGCAGACAAGCACAGGAAGTCTCTCGTGGTAGCGAATGCCACCTGAGTTTTAGTGACTTATTAAACCTGAGAGGGACATGGATGCTCAAAAACTTACTTGTCCAGCTGTATCAGTGCACCTAAAAATAGAGATTTCATTCCACACAAGTACTGCTCTGTACACGTAAGCTATACATAAACCTTTTACAGTCAGCACCACCACCACTATGTGCTAGGTCCACAACACGGTTCTGGTGTTTATCTTGTGGAAGGAACTGGGCTCATAAGGAAGCGTTAACTTAATGGAGAACACAAAAAGTGGGATGAGAGAGAAAACTAAAGCACTGAGGGATGCTACAGTGAAGAAATGACTGAGTAGGACATGCGAGGGGCGATCACTCAAGAAAGACAAGAGAAAGCAGCCAGAACTGGCAACTTGTCTGAATCAGTCTTGGCTTTGTAGCTGCTCCAGCCTGCTGTAGCCTTTTGCATCTCCTCTGAAGCATTTTCTTAGTGTAATACTTGGGTTTTCTCCCTTCAATAGAACATAGTGTACCTGTAAAACTTTGTTTAAGTACTGAAAAATTTGCCCTTGCTTATTTTGGCATTTTAACACGCATAGAATATATATAAACTCAATTTAGGTGAGAGAGGTTACTATTTTAGAATTTGATAATGATGGGAACCAGGAGCAGGTTTGGGATTTTTGTCTTAGTGTTAAAAATGAAGAAGGAGACTTCTCCCCCCATCACCTCCAAACAGAAAACTTTTAATGGCAGAAATTTGAACATAGCCCTGAAAGGCAATGGGAAACCAGTTATTAGGTTCAAGACCTTGGCACCTGCTTTATGAAGGCTTTTCCTTTATAAATGTGAATACCACAGTTTGGTCCTCACCTGCAGTTCTAGGTCACTTTTTTGCAGATTGGCTCTGACAACGAGGCTTGAAGTGAACATGAAGGGGTTTCTCTTCTCATTTTCACCTTCTTGCCTGCCTCATCAGTTTGGAGCTCTGTGATCCTAGTGAAGCACGTTGCACAAGTTGCTAAGCATAAGAAAAAAAAATGTTAAGTTTGTATAGTGGCAACAATTGCACAACTGAAAACACAGAACAAGTCCAGAGAAGGAAAAGCAGCAGTAATCTAATACAAAAAAAGAAACATCAGCTCCAGTCACGCATGGCCACATCCCATTGATTCCAGGGAAGGTCTGTTTTCCCTGTGGGGACCAATTTTGCTGTCAGTGTGAATATTTCTCCTCTTCCAGTCCCAGATTTGCATCCCTACCCTGAACTCACTGCTCTGTTATTTTCCTAAGAAGTCATCCCTCATGGCTGTTCAGACACTGATGTGAATCTCAGGTTTCCTCCATTCTCCTCCTGGACCCAGAGTATTTCCCTCTTTGCATTCAGCTGGATAAACCACTGACACCCACCTCCTTCAGGCTGTGTTATCCTCTTGAGGACTGGCATTGGGTGGACAAATGCCAGTGGAGAGGCTGGGGTCTGCTGCAGGTGGGCAGGAAGGGTTTATTGGTCTGTATTGAACATCCGAGGTGGATCTCCCTCATGCCCCTGCCTGCGTGTGCTCTTCCACTGACGGACAGTTTGCATGGCCATAAGTAAATGTGAAGACCAGAAGCTACCCTGAAAAGTAACGACTTGTTCCTGGGTCATATTTGTAATGTGAAAACTTTGTTAGTTACACATGTACAAACCTTTTCACAGCCATTCTGTCTCCCCTTCAGCTTGTGTGGGAACTCAGTTTTCAAATGACGTTTTGATGCCTCTTGTTTGTGTTCTCTGTGTGACTCATTTGAACCAGAGCCATTTCAACCTGTTTGCCCAGTTGGCCCAGAGATACCGCAGAGGATGCAGAGACGCTACAGATGTTTAAGAGCAGAAGTTGCTGTTGGTCATCTGGCTGTGCAGTGGCAGCCAGAGCTCTGGTCTGAGCTGCCAGAGCCTCTGTGGTAAACCAGCCCCTCAGATCCCAGACCACCACCATAGACTGAGACAGGAATCGCCTAGGGCTGCCAGTAGATAGGGTTTTGTAGAGAGGTAGATCCTAAAACCCACTTGGCTTGTTTGTAAAGTATCCAGGACCTGGTTTTCTCTCCAGAGGGTCCCTCTGAAAGATGCACGGAGACTCGCTGGTGCTTTGAAGCATGGATGAGCAAGGAGTCAGAGGGTGATGCCTACCCTGGGGCATCAAAGCCCAATCACTGGAATGGAAAGTGGGAGATACATTCTCAACATCTCCTGGCCAAAGGAAGCCCAGAGCCATGGTAATTCCTTCACCACCCCATGTCCTCAGGGAGGTGTGCATCAGCACCACTTTTCATCTCTTTTGGGTGCTCTGGCAAAGGTGGTAGGATTTGTAGGTTACATGACTGTAACCAGTGAAAGAGGCATTGGCTGGGTATGTGGATGTCTGCCTT